CATTTTGTGATGATGTCTTCAATTCTCTAATTTTCGTGAATATTTTTGTAATTTTTGGTAAAAAGTGATATTTTCGACTTCTTGTTAAAAACCAATAGTTCAATTGCTTTGATATTACATATTTAGATATTACATGTAGACCTTTCTCATATTTGTTCATTTCGTGATGATATCTTGGATTCTATAATTTTGGTGAATATTTTTGTCATATTTAGTAAAAAGTGATATTTTCGACTTCTTGTTAAAAACCAAAAGTTCAATTGCTTTGATATTACATATTTAGATATTACATGTAGACCTTTCTCAGATTTGTTCATTTCGTGATGATATCTTCAATTCTCTAATTTTGGTGAATATTTTGGTCATTTTTGGTAGAAAGTGATATTTTCGACTTCTTGTTAAAAACTGTAAGTCCGATTGCTTTGATACTATACATATTGTTCATTTTCTAATGATGTCTTCAGTTCTTTAATTGAAATGTGCATTGCTAACAGCGGAGCTATCTCAGCCGATAGGCTGCTTGTTAAAAATCCTGATTAAGTTTAGGTGCTCCTGAGAAATATTAGTTCCAATTTCCTGTACCATATGCAAATATAGTCCACTGTCATTGTGACGTATCCGAGTATATGAAAGGTAATCTCCACCACCTCATCAAATTCACTTGTTATATTCTATGTGTTTTCCAGGGTTTAGAAGACTGTACTGTTTTTGATGGAATTCTTGATCAGTGTAACAATGATCTAGGTGAGTTCACACTGAATATATTGTGTAACAACTTTTCAAAATCCCCTAGAGGATAATATTAAAACAAAATCTATCCATCTATCATCCATCTATTCAGACATAGATGTATAATGAAGGGAACCAGACAGGTATATTATGGGATTACATGGGTCATTTCAGCCAAAGTCAGTGCCCCATTTGAGAGGGGTACATGTAAACACAGTCCCTCTATCATAGAGGGACTGTGATGTAAACATGTAGATGCATGATCAAATAGTTTTAATTTAACCCATTAGCTAACTGTTTAGGGTCTGTTTAATATGAGACTTGTCATAACAATGTCTACAATGCATATGAAATACACATGAAATTCGAACATGTGCTGCGCGGACAACCACCTCCCTTTAATATTTTTGTAATGCAATGAAGCAACTTCATTCTACAAACTGACATTTTCACAGTTGTGTTGCCAAATGTTTTATTGACGGACTCGGCCTTAAATTGGAGCCTATCAAAGTGTTCAAAACCAATTTATGCTATGTGTTTATTAGTCCCCGTTCAGACGAAGTCTGAAAACGGGGACTCATAATTCGATCTGCGTTCGTCTGTTCGTCCGTCCGGAGTCTTATCTCAGAATCCCTTGGACTGATTCCGTTCATTCTTTGCATGTGTCTCGTACCTTATGTGGGATATATGCACATGCAGTGGTTTAGCGATTCGATTCAAAATGGCCGACTAGCAGCCATCTTGTTTTTTGAAAATGTCATATTTTGGACATGCTTTGTCTGTTTTCATTCAAATTTAGTACATAGATCATACAAGTTAAGATACATGTTCCCGACCGTCCATGCGTTCCTGAGTCTGTCTGTCCGTGTGTCCGTCCGTGCGTCAGTCTGTCCAGAGTCATATTTCAGAATCCTGTGGACCGATCCGTTCATTCTTTGCATGTGACTAGTACCTTATGTGGGACATATGCGCATGCAGTGGCTTAGCAATTTGATTCAAAATGGCCGACTGGCAGCCATCTTGGTTTTTTTTGAAAATGTTGTATTTTGGACATGCTTTGTCAGTTGTCATTCAAACTTGGTACATAGATTATACATGTTAGGATACATGTCCTTGACAATTTATTTCGCAATTGGATCAAAGATGGTCGACTGGCAGACATCTTGTTTTGTTTTTTTTCTGTCGTATCTTGGACGTGCTCTGTCAGTTTTCATTCAAATTTGGCACATACATGTACTTTATACATGTTAGGATGCATGTCCATGACAATTTCTTTCAAAATCTGGTCAAAGATGGCCGATCGACAACCATCTGACTTTTTGGCCTTACTACTATATTTCCACAATTTATGTTCATATTAGTTCATACTCAAAGACAAATAGTAATAAATAAATCTAGGACAGGTTAATCATTGCAAAACAAATTGCTATAGTTTTGCTAGAGGAATTAATTTTTTTTTTTCTGGAATCAACTCATCATTTGCAGTATGATATGTATACATATGTTTAGTTTTTGTTTCTAATTTCTTTTTCACAGCTAAAGCACTTCCTGAATTTACCAGGATTCGCAATCCCGATGCTAAAGCTATCTGTGATCTGGCACTCTATAATTACATCGAGGTAGTATAAGTTTAATATTTAGTATCCTTTCATCAATCAAAATCTCTGTTCAGCATTCAACTGTAACATCTTGCAATTCACGTGACTTCATCAATTCTCGTGAGATCTTCATTGCTTATCACATACTTGCATAGCTTATAGATCCTTGATATTATATATTCAAATTTTAAAAAGCTGTCTATTCCTATAGATGCGATCATCAGTAAATTCAAGATGGTTTATTTTCCGTAAGAAGGTGGATAATTTGCTTCATTGGATACTGCCTAACACTTTTGTACCACTTTACACTATGGTGACATTCACAAGAATGAGGTACCATATAGTTATCAATCAATGGAAGAAACAGGACAGGGTAAGTCATCTTAACACTAAAATTGCTCTTCTTGGCAATATGTGTGACATCATCACTTGTTTACCATACAGAGAATAACTGCTTTTATATACATGTACATGTGTACTTTAATATTACATCATGTGTGGCCCATAAACTTCTATACACATAGCTATGATGACCATATATTATTTTTCATTCCTCAAAATGAGATCCTGTCAGTCCAACTGTACATCCTCCATCAGACATATCTGGACTGGTTTTTATATAGACTAATGAATGATTGACTAGCAGCCATATTTGTCCCACAAGACGCTTCAACTCAACAATTTGAGCATAAGGGTATACTAATGCCCATCAGTTTTTATTGAGATTTGATTTGATCAGTCATATCTACAGCACGCCAGTGCTGATGCTATACAAACTTGGTATGAAAACATACATGAAGTTTTGTGAATTGATTCACAATATTCAACAGGTGGCAATGTTGATTTCATTTGTATGTGCCTCAATCACTTCTCGGATATGCCTTGAAATATTTTGTTTTTACAAAGACAAGACATCACATAGTCATCACAAGTGGGGACTATATCATTGACATATTTCTCCAACATATACTGATAGTATGATAGACAATTCTAGTAACGTGTAAACAAAGTTGTCAGTTCTTCAAGACCATAATTTCTGATATTATTCATGATTTATACATGCAAATAATTTATTCTTATTCTGTATTTATTTTTTCCAGGCTGTTAATACTACACTTTTACTCATGTTAGCAGCTTCTGTGACATCTCTGGGTTATTTAACATGGAAACATAACAACCTATCTATGAATCACATTCTGCCCTTGGAAAGAATCAGTGAACTTATTTCCAGTTTTCGAAAATAATAAAATGTTTACCTTGTCCATATCATGGTTGATGAAAAACAAGGTATACCGGTATATGTTGTTGCTATTGTCATCATTGACTTCATCCTAAAACTTGTGGTTACAATAACGAAAACGTTTTTTTTGTTTTTTCAAATTTCTTTCAAACCTATATTTTTAATCAGTTTAAGTTCTTGTCCGAGATCAATTTTGGTTCATGTTCTATGTATATTTTTCAAGGTTTTGCTTAAATATCACTTACAATTTGGGTGTAACTAGCAAGTGCGATTTTCCAGATATGTGGTAAAATTTGGCTGAAATGAAACATTTGTTAGACATAGAAATAAGTGGACAGAATGAAGCCATTTATACTGCTGATAATGAGAACCAGATGTTAAGTACTATGGTTACCAAGATCTATTGATTACATAAGTAATTGTTTTCATTATTATGAGTATAATACAAAAAAAGTGTACTTTTCCCCTTTTTTTCAAATCTGTCTAGTATTTTTAGTTCCCGTTCGGACGGTAGTCCGAAACGGGAAGTAGTGTTTTTGGTTATGTGCGTGCATGCGTGCGTGTGTGCGTGCGTGTGTGCGTGCGTGCATCGTCATATTTCAGACACACTTTGATGGATTCCATTCAAATTTGGTACACATACATGTCATGAAGGTATACATATGCACGTGAAGTTGTTTTGAGATTAGATCAATTTTGAGCGTTTGGCAGCTATTTTAAACCCGAAAATTCTGATTAAGATGGACTATAAATTACATGCATCTAATACAAAGTTGTTTTTATGTTGTTAAATTGATGTCAATAAAGTAGTAGTATTATGTTGGTTTGTCAGAATGTTACCTTTATTCGTATTTTGTTTGATATCTGATTTGATTATGATGCAATAAAGATATCAGTATTTTTACCACGTACTCGATCATGCTAAACTGGGCATGATCTTCGGGTCCAGGCAATGTGTTCTACTGTTGCATCATGGGAGCGAATTCGCTTCAATCAGGTAAATGGTAAAAAAACCTCGTGTAGGACAATTTTTTTATGGATGCTCTCTGTGACTTCGCGCTGATACTGAATAGTTTGAAGATCAATAAATTATTTGGTAAGTACATGATATATTTGTAAGTACTATGATATATGAATGTTTGGGACTTGTATCTTTGCCGATCTATAGAGGTAAATTGTTCAGATTTTGATGTCCGTAGCCGGTGATCACTGCACTGCGATGGCCGTCATTTGTGTCAACGATCGAAATTACTGGTATTCCGGTATCTATCTTTTAACAAATTAATTATTTTCAAAAATAATAAGTTTTCTGTGATCGATTTTTTTTGTCTGATCACAGGGAACCCAGGAACTATAATCAACTGTAATACGCAGTTTCTATGAGCGGGGAGGGGGGGGGGGTTTATCGGCTGGTATCTAGTGTAAGAAATAGACAAGGGATGAAGGCTCCAGCCAGCTAACATTTTTTAAACTCGAAAAAACAGACGAAAAGAATGATAAATAAAATCTAAAAAAAATACCAGGTTGAAGAATATTATTCACCTCATGTTGTTTTCTCATTGTTATGTGTCCCCGTAAACACAGCATTGTATGCAGGTGACAATGCTACGTACACTTGCAATGAAGTCGGTAATTTCTGCGTAACAGACGTCTTACATGGTCATTTTTAAATGAATCTTACTAAACAATACTACGGGAGTCTCGCCACACTTGCACAAACTTGTCCTGTCCTTCGACAATGTCAGCACATTCGTAGGACTGTCACCCCCATGGATCGAATGGTATTGTCCTATTGTTAAACGCTAACCAAAATTAGTAAACAACATGGCGGACTCGACTCGCCGGAATGCCCGGGCGTCGATCATAAAAAGTGTGGATAGCTGCTCGAATTCTCCACTCCGGTTCAAATTTTAAGCATAAACGAATATTATACAGTACAAGGATTGCTGCCGCTGCCCCGTGCGTTAGGTATTCCCCCCTGTTCGCCTCCGCGCGTGCCCGGACACTCCCTCGCGTGTCCGGGCGTTAAATAGTAGCACCCCATTTTAACGATGTCTCGCCATGTCACAGTCTATGTTCTGGATGTTAGTCGGCAACGGTCGACAGGGTGATTTTAGGGATGTGCAAAGCAGGCAGATTTGTAGAAATTGACATCGGCAAATGCTGTATTTGAAAAAAAATCACTGTGATGGAACAATGAAATTTCGTAGCAAGTTGAAAAGATCTTGGAGGTTTGTATCGTCACGTCATCGCGTCCCGAAGACTGGCTACACTATTCAAAGTGCACTGTCAATATATATGACACGGTCAGAACAACTGAATGGTTTAAAATTTTATTATTTTGACGATGTAACTGGGTGTTTATCTAACTGCAATTTTTAAATGACCTAAATTAGTGTACGTTAATATCGTG